ACCCCCCGAACCTCTCCCGGGGTGCGTTCTGATTAGAATCAGGAGGGGAAAAAACACACAGACACAATTGATCGTCGATTCCCCAGAAAATGTGGGAAAATATGGGAAGTTTGGGGGGAAGACGAAATCCAAACAAATGGAAAAATATGGAGATCCTGTTATTTGTGTTGATTCATTTGTGTGTCCGTGGGCCCCTGCATAGAATTTCGAGGCGAATCCGGCGGTGGCGACGAGGGCCTCCCGGGAGGCCCAACACGAGGAAGACGGCCGAAGGGCAGATGCGTGGGTGCCTTTGCCTCCTCTGACCTGCGCTGCCGCTGGCAGGGCAAGTTGTTTATCCGTCCTCTGGCGCTGTCGGGCGCGGCGTTCCCAGACGGCGCCAGGCGCGCATCGTGACGGGTGATACCTGGGGGGGGGAGCGGCCCAGGCTAGCGTTGTGGAGGACGATCAGTGGAGAGGAAGCAGGTTGCCAAATACTTTTCAGATGTCCACAGCATGTATCAAACATGCTTAAACATGTAAAGAAGCATGTTCAAAACATGCTTAGATCATGATTCCCACATGTTAAAACACATGTTAAATTCAAGGATCGGACCGTAAGGGTGTCCATTGTCGTGGCATCCACGAGGCTGGCGGGCGGCCCAACGACGAAAGCGAGCTCCTGGGCCCTCCAGGGGTCTCTCGCCGGCGATCGATTGTGGGGGCATCTCGAGGCCCCAGGATCGGGGATAGCCAGGACCCCGGTGAAGGGGAGCCGGTTCGTGATCGGGCCCCGAAGCCCCAAAAGATGGGCTTGGTCTGCCGCAGCTGGTGTTTTTCGGGTGATGGCAGTTCCGGCTAGTGGAGAGGGGCGGGGGGGGCGCTCCCCTTCGTGGGCCCCGGAAACGTCCATTGAAAATGGAAACGGCAAAAAAACGGAGACCAGAAACGGCCAAAAAACGGCTCCAGGATCGGAACCGGAGCCAGAACCGGTCAAACATTGGCGACGGAACCTGTAAAAAACGGCGTCGGAACCGGCAACAAAAACGGCAAAACGGAACCGGTAAAAAGACGGCCCTGTCGTTTCCAGGGCCCATTAAGGGCGTTCCCCAGTACACATCATCAAACCAGGTCCCACTAAACCCAGTCCTGTCAACGCCCGACAGGAGCCCATGGGAAGCGTCAGCCCGAGAGGGCGCACAGTCGCGGAACCGCTCTTGGGTGCTCCGTGGCCGCTCGGAGCCGTCTCGGGGCGTCGTGGGCGGCGGCGGCGACGGCGGCTGCCTCGCTCCATGGGCCCGCGCCCGCGCGAGGGAGTTCGAGACGGGCCGGCTGCACTGCGAGGTCGAGTGGGCGGCGCCCTCTGGCGGCCATGGCGCCCAGGCGGTCTGGATGACACGAGCTGACGACGAAGACCGAGGTGTGAGAGGAGGAGGAGGAGGCGGAGGAGGAGGAGGAGGAGGAGGAGGAGGAGGAGGAGGAGGAGGAGGAGGAGGAGGAGGAGGAGGTTCGAGGATCCAATATGGAGGTTCCTCATTGTGCTTCTGTCTTCTTGGGGCCTCGGGCGGGCGCCTCGTCGCCGCGGCAGGAGCCGCCTCAGCCTGCGGCTATACTCGCAGCGCGCCCCAGAACTTTTTGGCGTCGGCGGCTGGGCAGGGGTCGTCTGCGCTGGCGGCAGGAGTTAAGCTTATGACGTTCCAACCTACTTTAGCTTTGACTGCCAGAAAGAATCTCGAGCACCAGAAAAAGCGTACCGAAACTGTGAGGCTTTTCACGCGTCGGGCCCTGGGAGACACTCGCCCGACATTGCTTCGGCACTGCTTCGGCACTCCTTTGACTCTTTTCCGGGTGCTCGAAGCTATCTCTGGGAGGTGGTCCTTAAGTACAGTCGGGGCCTTGAAGAAGGAACCTTTTTCGTTGGGGAGGGGCTCCGCGTTCCTTAAGTGTTTCACAGCTTGCCTCAGGTTTTCTTTATGTTTTCGATAGCAGATCGAAGTTTAACTTATGGAAAAAAGGGGCCTCGTTCCTTATTGCGAAGGCCTTACGGCCGGTGCCGCCGACCCTGAATGGCGACGACGACGACGTCGACGAGCGCTCTTGGGGGCCTCTTGGGGGTAGTTTGTGGGCCTCTTGGGAAGCTCTTAGGGGCCGCTTGGAAGCCTCGTGGGGGCCTCTTGGGGCTTCCTGGGGGTCTCTTGGAGGGGGCCTGGGACGTCTTGGAGGCTTCTTGGACGGTCTTAGGGGCTATCTTGGGCGTGTTCGGCCGATCTTTGGGCGACTCGGGGCCCTCTTGGGCCGTCTCGGGGGCCATCTTGGGCATTCGGACCTCATTTGGAGTGCTTTCGAGGTTTCTAGGCCGCCCGAGGAAAAACGAATCTGCCCCCCCCCCCCGGGACCCCCCCCGGGACCCCCCCCCCTCTGGGGAAGGGATCAAAGGGAAGGGGCTTCCCTTCGACTCGATTACGACACTGCTAGATTTTTCTCTCGCTCACGAGCTTGAGAAGGAAGCTGCAGGGAAAGGGGACGACGGAGGCGACGACCGACGGAGACGACGACTCGAACAGCCAAGCCCCTCGCACACGCCGACAGGGTCGGCGCATTTAGGGTTCCTTAGGTCAAGGCCCCGACTGTACGGTGGGAGGCCAGAGAAAGCGAAAAGCACACGGGGGCACCGTGGCAGCGAGCTGCCCAGCATGCAGGAGCGGGAAGAGGGGGGCAGAGCAGGCGGCCGCAGAAGGCCGGCCGTTGCTCCCAGGAGGAGGAGGAGGAGGAGGAGGAGGAGAGGAGGAGGAGGAGGAGGAGGAGGAAGGAGGAGAGAGGAGGAGGAGGAGGAGGAGGAGGGAGGAGGAGGAGGAGGAGGAGGAGGAGGAGGGAGGAGGAGGAGGAGGAGGAGGAGGGAGGGAGGAGGGAGGGAGGAGGAGGAGGAGGAGGAGGAGGAGGAGGCGGAGGCGGGGGCCTCAGACTTCCCAGGGGCCGAGGATCGCCCGAAGCCTGCCGCGACGCCGTGCCTGTCCACGGCGCGAGAGGGGGGCGGAGGCTCCCGGGGGCCAGCGCTCGACCCTCACGCCTGCTCCGGAGCACGCTCCCAGGGGAAGTGGTGCCCGTCCCCCCTCGACGAGGGCCCTCGCCGGGCCCTCCTCCTCCTCCTCCAGCCCCCCCGTAGCCATTTTGGCTCAAGAGGGGGGCGCCGCCGCGCGCCCGCCACCGGGCCGCCGCGCGCGCGGAGCTCGAGCGCGCTCTCCGCGCCAGCCGCATCCCCAGGCGGCGGCGGCCACGAGGCGCTTCCCGCAGACGAGCGTCATGGACGCCTTTCTGAGGTCGGAGATCCAGGTCGCTTTTCAGGAGATCGTGCTGCCCCAGATCCAGAACGAACTGCTGGCGCTCAGGGGGGATGTCCAGGACATGCGGCGGGACCTGCAGGCGCTCTCCTCGAAGAGAGACCCTGAAGCCGCCACGAATCGCAGCCTCTCCCCGAAAGTGCTGGTGGACCACTTCCCCCAGCGCCCTGGCCCTTCGCGAGACACCATCACCAACGGCGACGACGCGCCCCACTGGGGGCTGACGTCGGCGGAGCCTTGGAAGCGCTCCTCCGCCTACTGCGAGCTCCCGCGGCCCTCGAGCCCGCGGGCGCACCGCTCCGCGAACAAGGCGAGCAGCCTCAGGGCCTTCGTCGCCAGCAACGCCAAGAAGAAGGGCGACGACGACCAGGACGCCGAGGAGCTCCGGCGGCGGCCCCAGGCCGGCGGCGGGAAGCTGCACCTGGCGCCCCCCCACTACGTCACCGAGAGCGACGAGGACAGCGACGCGGGCGAGAGCGAGGAGGCGGAGGTGAGCGAGGTGCGCCCTCCGGCCCCCCTCGTCGGGCGCCCGACGACCCCGGCCGAGCAGGAGCCGTCGCTGATGGTCGTGGAGGACCCCAGGGGCAGCTCCGGGCCCGTGGTGCCGCGGCAGGCCCGACAGGACGGCTCCCTGGCGGCGGCGCCGCGGCGGACCCAGCCGGCGGCGGTGCGGTTCAGCAGCGAGGGGCAGGATCGCAGGAGCCGCGACTCCAGCGAGAGCCAGCAGTTTTTTGGCGGCGGGGGGGCGTCCCTGAGGGAGCGCAGTACTGAGGCGAACAATGATTCTGTTTTCTTCGGGCCCAACGCCAGCGTTCACATCCAGAAGAACCCGAAGATCAGGCGGGGATCCACGAGGGGATCGCGAGGGGCAGGCCAGTCTCTCTACATGGGCCGCGTGTCCATGGCGATCGCGAAGGCCGACGAGAAGAAGCCATCGTTCGCGGAGTGGGCGCGATCTCTGACGAGGCTGGAGACGTACCGCGGCATGTCTGCCGCAGCGATTCTGGGGAGCTTCAGGTTCGACAACATGATCAGTCTCCTCATCTTAGGGAATTCTTGACGCTTCGCGTATCCCCACCACCTTTCCGTAGTTGCCCCGCTTCTTGACCTTCGCCAGGGAGCCGCCAACCAAAAAAGTATCCCCACCAGCCCATCCAGAAACGATGTCCAGGCAAGTTGAAGAGATCAGGGAAGTGGGGGAGCAACCAGAGGGACAGCCGATCCGTGCAAAGGATGAGGCGGAAGAGGAGGCCAGATGGATAGATGAGGGGGTGATAATGATGACGCTGGGTGGATGGTTGAATGCCGCTCGGATGCCTCTTGGAAGCCTTTTGGAAGCCTCTTCGGGCGTCTTGGGGGTCTCTTGGCGGTCAATGGGGGCTCTTGGGCGTCTTGGGTGCTTCGGGGGGGCCTCTTGAGGCCGCTTGGGATCCTCTTGGGGGGCTCTTGGATGCCTGTTGGAGGCCTCTTGGGGCCTCTTGGGGGTCTCTTGGAGCTTCATGGCGGCCTCTTGGAGCCTCTTGGAGGCCTCTTGGAACCATCCTGGGAGCCTCTTGGAGCCTCCTGGGGGCTTCTTGGGGCCTCATGGCGGCCTCTTGGGGCCTCTTGGAGGCCTCTTGGAAGCCTTTTAGGGCTCCTGGGCGCCTCTTGGGGCCATCTTGGAGGAGATCGATCAAAGAAGAGGGTGGAGTTAATTAGCACTGCCCCTCGGGAGCCTCTAACATCGCCTCTTAGACGCCTCTTGGGGCGCTCTTGGAGCGCTCTTGGGCGCTCTTGGGGCCGTCTTCGGGCTCTCTTGGGCCTCTCTTGGGGCCCTCTTGGGCCATCTTGGAGCCATCTTGAGGCCACGGAATGCCATCGGAAGCGCAACGGCGAGAAGGCACACATCACTGTTTTTCGTTAAGTTTTTGAAGGACGTTGTCCTCTTGGGGGCCTCCTTGGGAAGCTCTTTGGCCTGTTGGAACGGTCATGGGGCGATCTTGGGGCCTCTTGAAGCATCTTCGAAGCCATCTTGAGGCATCTTAGGCTATCTTGAGGCATCTTGGAGGTCATTTTTGGGCTCCCTGAGTCTCTCTTGGGGCCGTCTTGGGCCATCTTGGACGCTCCAACTACCAGCGGCACCGCCCGTCCAGGTCCAGGGGAGGGGGTCGGGGGAGGGGTAAACCCCTCCCCGAAGGGGAAGAGGGAAGATGGAAGAAGAAACGCCCTAAACCACCTACGCCCTGAAGGGCTGGTGGGATTATGGGATTAGCCTTGGCGTATACCCACTGGGACGCACCAGGCGCGCTTCCCGTGCGATCCGTTAATCGGAAGGAATAAACTTGGGGGAGTGCCGAGGGGGTTGGCATCGCGGCGGGCAGGACAACGGAAAGCGTGCTTCGCGTGCGATCCGTTTGTCGGAAGGAATATACTTGGGGGAGTTCGAGGGGCCGACGAACGGTAGGGCAACCTTCTCAAGGGTACCGTCGATGAATGTGACATCGAGGCGAAGACGGGGACGACGGCGTCGACGACGATGCTTTTTCGGCTCTGTTGGGAGCTTCGTGGGCGCTTCTTGGGGGCTTTTGTGGCCTCCTAGGGTCTTTTAGGGCGCTTCTGAGGCGCGCGGTTCGAATGTAGTTGGTGATGTGCTGGCGGGCGCAGGGGGAAACCCTTGCGTCCGGGCCGGGGGTGGTAACCCATCCTCGGCCGAACTGGGGGCAGGGGGAAACCCTTGTCTCCGGGCCGCCGGTGGTAACCCATCGGCGGCCGAATCGGGCGCAGGGGGAAACTCTTGCGTCCGGGCTGGGGGTGGTAACCCATCCTCAGCCGAATCGGGGTTGTTTTGGGCGCCCCAGGGCGCAACCTATGGCGCAAGAAGTAGGAGCCCGTTTCATTCTCGGCGGGCGAGGGCGCAACCTATGGCGCAAGCAATAGGAGCCCGTTTCATTCTCGGCGGGCGAGGGCGCAACTCATGGCGCAAGAAGTAGGAGCCCGTTTTATTCTCGGCGGGCGAGGGCGCAACCCATGGCGCAAGAAGTAGGAGCCCGTTTTATTCTCGGTGGGCGAGGGCGCAACCTAGGGCGCAAGAAGTAGGAGCCCGTTTCATTCTCGGCGGGCGAAGGCGCAACCCATGGCGCAATCAGTAGGAGCATGTGATATTCCCTGGGGCGATCTCGGGGGCCCTGGGGGTCGGTCGCCTTGGAGCGTCGGAAGCTCGAATGCCCCTGGAGTGGCTTTAGAAGCCACTCCAGGGGCATTCGCGATATGATGATGATGATGATGATGGTGATGATGATGATGATGATGATGATGATGATGATGATGATGATGATGATGATGATGATGATGATGATGCTGATGCTGATGATGCTGATGATGATGATGATGATGATGATGATGATGACGATGATGATGATGATGATGATGATGATGATGATGATGTTGATGATTATGATGACGATGACGATGACGATGACGATGATGATGATGATGATGATGATGATGATGATGATGATGATGATGATGATGATGATGATGATGATGATGATGATCGTTGGGATAGGGTGGGAGGCCTCTCGGGGGCCTGCTGGAGGCAGTTTTGAGGCCTCTTGGAGGCCGTCTGGGGGCCTCTTGGGGACCTCTTGGGCTCTTGGGAGCCTCTTGCGGGCCTCTTGGGGCTTTTTGGGGGCCTCTTGGGGGCCTCTTGATCGCATGCTGTCCTTAGCGCAACGTTCGCGCTCTAGCGTGTGTGAAGCCGATGCCATGCGCGCTCGGCGCAAGGCGCCTGCAGGACCTATCGCGGCGTTCGCGCGGGACCCTCCCCATCAGAAATCGTGGGGGGTAGGGGTAGGGTTCGCATGTAGCCCCCTAACGGTGGTCAATGCAAATCGGGGTCAGCCAGAGCTTCGGATTCTGCAGGATCCTGCGAAGACCCCCTTGGGCTGACCCGGGTTCGCGAGCCGCTCGTGGCCGCGAGGCGGCCGCGCAGATCGGCTGGCCCGGGTTTGCGAAGACCTGCGTGGCAGTTTTTTGTCTCTTGCATTACAGTTTTTGGTTTCCTCCTGACCCGGGTCTGGATCGACCCGGGTCAGGAGATCCCCGAAAGGTGCCCCCCCCTCCCCCACAGGGATATTCGACGAAGAGGGCGGGGTGCCAAGGGGCCGGGGATGAGCAAGTGATGCGCGAGTAGTGGACCAGGGGCAGCGATAGGGGGGATAGGCATCGGGGGGGTGCATGGACCCCCAATCGCCCACTGATCGATTGACCGCCGAGAGGGGCCCGATAGCCCCAACCCGCCCAGGAAGGTGCGGATTTGCTATGGTGTGCCTATCGCCGATCTATCGGCGATGTATCGCCGATTCCAGGTCGAAATGCCCCCCCCCCCCTCCCCCCCTTATCGTTGCCCCTTACTGAAGAGCGAACTGTGTAAAGCCTTACGGCTGGTGCCGCCGACCCGTAAGGGGAACGACAACGGCGGCGGCGGTGACGACGACGACGCAGACGTGGGCCAGAGTCCTCAGGGATGCCCTCGGAGGCATCTGGGGAGGAATTTCGGAGCCTCTTGGGAGCCTCTTGGGGCCTCTTGGGAGCCTCTTGGGGGCATCTTCGGGCTTCCTCGGGACCTCTCGTGGGCCTTTCGGGCCTCCAGGGAACCTCTTGGGGCATCTTCGGAGCCTCTTGGGGTTTACTGGGAGCCCTGAGAGGGCTCGACATGTCCGTTCGGGCTCCCCGTCTGGGCGTGCTTTTGGTGCCGTCTTGGGGGCCTCTTCGACCGACTTGGAGGCGTTTTGGGGGATCTTGTGGGCCTCTTGGGCCGTCTTGGAGCGGCGGGAAAAATAAGGCAAGAACGCTCAAATCCTGAAAACAAACAAACACAAGGGACATCAATTCATTTTGTCTCTTTGAGCCCTCTCGGGAGTGCTCTTGGAGGCTTCTTGTGGCGTCTTGGAGGCCTTTTGGGCAGTCTGGAGGGCGTGAAGGCGTTTTGGATCGATCGTTTGGTGATTGGGTGCCCTCTTGGACCGTCTCGGGGGTCTCTTGGGGCACTGGTGGCCTGTCTTGGTCCTTCCTGAGTCCCCAGGACCCCCAGGGGGAATGCGTATTTGACCCCCCTCCCACCCCCCTCTACCCCCCCCGGGACTACCTCGGGACCACCCCCAGGCCCTGACACCCCCCTCCCCCGACCGGGAGGGGATCAAACGGAAGGAGTTTCCCTTCGACTCGATTACGGCATTCTCTCGCTGACAGGTTTGAGGAGAAGGGTGCAGGGAAAGGGGACGACGAAGACGACGCCTGACGGAGACGACGACTCGGACAGACAAGCCGCGCCCTTACACATGCAGGCAGGGTCGGCGGATTTTTTCCGAGGCGCCGATTTTCCCACTACCCACAGACTGGGCCTTGGCCCGTCACAGTCAGAGCGTGCCCCGCGCCGCTCGCAGCTCTGCTCGTCGGGGAAGGTCTCGCTGCTCCGGCCGGGCTGCTCCGGCCTCGGGCCGCAGCAGCAGCGGCACGTGTCTGCCAGGGGTCGCGCTCTCGCCTCAGACGTCGGTGCAGTCTGCTCGAGGCTGGGGCTCGCTCGCCCTGGACTTCCTCGCGGTGTGCTCGGGCGTCGCGCGCTTCTGCCTTTTGGGGGAGCCGTGCTCTTGCCTGGCGTCGCCCTCGCGCCGGAGACGCCACTGCAACTCATCTGCTCGAGAGCTCCGCCTCCGCGGGGAGCATCCTCACACTTTGCTCGGGCACCGCGCTCTCGCGCACGAGGAATCGCGCCCTTGCCCGCGACTTCCTCGTCGCCGCCTTGAAAACGTTCCGCCCGCCCGCCCTCTGGGCTGCTCTGCCTGCCCGACCACCCCGCTCGCCTCTAGTCGGAGGTGGACAGACCTCCTACCCTGACGCGTCGATCAAGGAATTGGCCGTTTCCGGTTCGCGAGAGGGTGTCGCGGCCGTCATTTTTGCGGGTCCGGGTCCGCCGGTTTTGGTCCCAGGCCGTTTTCGCTCAGGGGAGGTTTGCTAAAGGGAGGTTTGTCCACCGCCGATCCAGGGTGCCCTGGGTCTCTTTGGTTTCGATGGCTCTGCGATGGAAAGAAGCGCCCGTCCAAACTGGCGGGGATCGTGCGATAGTACAGTTCACGTCCCCCGTTCGTCCCTCTTCCTCTTTTCTCCGTCTGTGCCTTTTTGATTCAAGCCGCGCAGCCGCTTCATCTGCGATGCGGTCTTGATCGGTTCTTGCTAGTGCTGCTCCACTCGGCTGCGATGTCCGCCGTGCCAACGCAGGGCAACAAAGCCGCCCGCAAGCGCGCGGCCCGCGACGCTGATCCGGGCGCCCTTGCGAAACGCGCCGCGCGGGCATGGCTGCAGCGGCGCATCCGGTTTTGCCGGCGCTTCCAGCTCCAGCGCTCGCAGCAACGACGCAGCCGGTCCTGTCGTCCACGAGCGGGGGCGCGCTTGTGGGCACGAGCGGGGGTGCGCCGCCCCCTCCGGGCGGCGGCGGCGCGCCGCCCCCATCCGGGCGGCGGCGGCGCGCCGGGGGTCGCGGCGTTCGCCAGAGAGGCCGACGCGAACGCGCCGGTTGTACATTTTGGGCCCCTCGTCGGCACGGACGAGTTCCCGAAGAAGAAGAAAGAAATGATGGGCAAAGTTCTTTGGATTCAGTGTTTTGTTTTATCCTTCTCCTTTCTTGGACTGATTCTGTAATGTGCCCCCCTCCCCTCCCCTCTCCTCGTTCTTTTCCCCATCGCGTCTACTCCTTCTTCGCGCCCCTTTGCGTTCCTTTCTCGCTCTCGCTCTCTCTCTCTCTCTTTTTCTCCCTCTCTCTCTCTCTCTCTCTTTTTCTCACTACTGGTTTTGGTTTTCTCTCTCTCTCTCTGCTTTATGGTTGTCGATCCTCTTTCCCTCTAGGTGGATTCATTTCGTTTTCCCTGCGCGATCTCTTCCTTTCCCTTTGGCTCCCTTCCCTGTTCTGGTATCCTCTCTTTCGCTCTCCCTCTCCCTGTCTTCGTTTGGGGGTCGCTCGCTGCCTCTCTCCCTCTCTCTCTCTCTCTCCCTCTCTCTCTCACTCTCTCTATCTCTGTCGCATTCGCGCAATTGCTGCCGTTCTCTCTGTCGCGCATTTCCTGGCGCTGTCCCTGCAGCTTGTTACTCAATCATTATCTCTCCTTCTCTCGCGCTTTCTCTTTCTTTTTCGCTTTCTCATCTCTCTGTCTGTTCGCGTTCTTTTTTGTGTCGATTGATACACGCGTGCTCTGCGCGGTCCCTCCTTGTTGTTGTTGCCCTCAATCCGCCTTCCTCCCTCTCCCTCTCTCTATCTCTCTCTCTCTCTGTTGTTTGCTTGAGCTGTGCTATTGTTCTTTCGCTTTTGCGTTTTTTTCACAAAAGAAGAAACATTCCCGTGTGTTTGCTCGCGCCACGCTTGCAGGTCTCCGGCGCTTTGTTTATGTTTTCTCGTTTGCCCGCTATCCCTCCGTCCTCTCGCGCGCTTGTCCAGAGTGTTGTTGTTGTTGTCGCTCTGTGTGCTCCCTCTACGCATCCTCTCTATCTCTTTTTTATGTATTTTTTTCTCTGCTTTCCGCTTATCTTGGTCGCGCAATTGCGCGGCCCAGCTGTCGCGCCGCTCGACAGGCGGTCACGAGTTGGGCCCCCGGCGCGTCGACGACGCCGACGTCGCCGATGAGGCATTGGAACCGTGGCGAGGACGCGTTCCGCCTTATCACGGGCGTCCTGGCTGTGAAGGACAAGAACATTCTGCGGGATTGCTTGCAGCGTTGCAAGGGCCACAACAACAACGCCGTCGCGCGCTTCACGACGGAGCTTCGCAAGAGCAAGTGCAAATGGACAGGGGGGGATGCCGAAGAGTGGTCGGAATAAGCTGCGCGTCCCTTTTGACACCCAATAAGCTGGCACGTGCAATCATTCGCGCTCGGCGCGGTTGCCAGGACAAAGTCAGAAGGGCATGCAACATTAATCGGCTTCAGGAGCTGCAGAACGCTCTTTCAGTTAACGCGCTCTGCGCAGCCGCGTAGATCGCACCCGAGAATAACCGCTGAATCACTCGCGCTCGGCGCAGCGGGAACTCGCTCAGCAGTCAACGCCCTAGCGCAGGCGGCATCAATGAAACGCGCTCGGCGCAGGCTCTAATCTCATGGAAGGCGTGGATCGCGCTCGGCGCAGTACGTGGATGGACCCTCAGTGCGCTCTTCAATGTCGCATAGCGCGCCAAGTAGATACTCCTCAGCCTGGCGAGTAACCGCTTTCAATGGCATGCTTTCTTTCGCAGCACACTTGCGTTTGTACGCTAGCATCAATTTAGATCCATGGGCAAATGCTCGCACAAAGCGAGAAGACTCAGGGTTAGAGTCTTGATATTTTCAAACACGCGCTGCCAAGAGCGCGACGTTTGCACGCGGGCACGCTGAAGCCATTTGCCACGCGATGACAAACGATGTGAGGCCTCTTGGGGGCCTCATGGAAAGTCCAGGAGCCTACTTGGAGCCGTCTTGAGTCGGCATTGGCTTTGGTCGCTTATTGACAGCTATCTCTAGACATCTAAAGCTAGATTCAATCATTGTAAAGGTCGGTTATTCGGCTGCTGTCTTGGCGCCATGTATAGATAGCTTGAACCTTGTGATCGTTGGCGGCTTAAACAACGATTCTGGCCACGTTAAAACGACCGCGAGATTTGGAACGGCCAGACCGATGAGGGTTACGTTTCTCAGCCAGGTAGGTCCAATTAGGTTAGATGCTGGTGCGCTAAATGCAAATCAGTCCTAGTTGTTGAACGACTCTGCAGGTGAAGTGCACTGCACGTTCAATGAATCTTCTGATTCCTCCTCGTAGTCACGTTGGGTCGAATCAGACTTTGTGGGAGGCCACGTCAAAACCACCTGAGTCACTGCCACGATGACCAAATTTAGCTCGACGGATCATGTCGGCGTCAACTTTCGCGGGCGCCGTCGAGGCTTCGTTCAGCAACGTCGCAGTGGACCTGGAAGGCCTCTCCGGTAAGGTCATGCCAAACCCCGGAGTGGAAGGAATGCATGTCCTCCTGGCGAGGCGTTGCGCTGATGAAATTTGCGAACGCGTGGGCGTAGACATTTTTTTTGTGGAGGCCTTGCAGTTATTTTTTTCAAGCAGTGGGTGGTATGTGGATCTGTCTTTTACTTGGGATGGCATCCAAGTGCTATTGGAATCTGCGAGCGGGGTGCTATCTACAAAGGCTGGCATGAATGAGAACCTCCGATGCTTGATGGGCCGTGCGCGAAGAGCAGGACGCGGCGGCGCAGATTCTCGGATTGGTCGAGAAAACAGACGCGGTGAAGCCTCAGAGCCACCTTGATTTCCAGAAAGCGAAATACTTCGAGAGTAGCCCGGGGGACCCCGATGTCCCGATGCGTTTGAGGCATGCGCAGTGGGCGCATTCGTTTTACTATCATCATGTTCGCGAATATTTGGTCAGCGAGTCCCTCGATCAGAAGAGGATGTCGCACCATTTCCATGGCTCCACGCTCGCGCCTCTTATTCCGCTGCGGTCTTTGGAAGGCGACGATGAAAAGAACGAGGCAGCTGCCGCGCAAGCAAACATGAAACCTGAAGATCTGGCGCCGTTCAATGTGAACATGTGGGCAGCATGGGAGGAGATTGCAGAGGTTCTCGACGTGGCCGGGGCAGATGCGCCGACGGCGTTCAAGCAGTTTTTGGAAAAAGATTATGTCCGCATCTTGTCTTCTACGTGCGACGCTCGAGCTTCAGTCCGCCAGCTTGCGCAGAGTGGATCTCGCGCTCGGAGCAGTCTTTCGAGCCCATGGTCGACCCGCAATTTCAGGGTAGCACAGAGGAGGCGCGCGCGCGAAGCTTTGATCACGTCTGCATCCCTGGGCGACCACGCGCGCGCCGTGCAAGCAGTGAATGATGCGCATGCAGAGTATTTGAATTCGCGAACTTCGAGGCAGAGGGCGCTATTGCCGGACGTTGCTCCGCCAAAATTTGCAATTTCTATGCATCATGACTTTCTGCGGAACCTCGTGGAGACAGCAGGTGCCGGCTTGTCGCGCTCGGCGCAGAGAGATGTTACACAGGCCTGCGTTGTTTCCGAGGCGGTTGCACTTTCTCTGGGATTCGCCGCGCTTTCTGGGATTGATCTTATTTTGTCCGGAAATGGTTTTGCAACGCCTTCGCCTGCAGTTGAACCGGCGGAATACACGTCCGCTCTTGCCATTCTACAGTCGGGCAACGATGGGGCCAGGTGCAAAATCCAGGCTGTCTTGGCGGTGTGCGACGCCGCCCCGCCCGAAGTGAAGCATGCCAAGGGTTCTTCACGCAAGCGCAAGGCTACTGAACATGAGGCTAAGGCAGCTGACGTGACCCTCGTCGACAAAACAGGCGTGTTTGTGCCAATCTGGTTGGCGGGTTTGCCGTGCAGTTTATATATGCGCACTTCTTTACAGTATCATTTAATTTAATATTCAGACTCTGTATAATCTCGGTCATATATGTGCATGTATCGATAGATGCACGAGTGCAGAATGCATGTGTGTACATGTGCGTTGGCGTTGTGCCAATTCTCGTTTTGTCCCACAAAGGCCAGATTAGCGGCTGACTCTGGGGTGAGCTTGCGGAGACTGTTTGCGGGATGTGGAACGACGTGCAGGAGCGTCGGGCAAGCGGGGAAGTGGCAACGTGCATAGTCGAGCTGGACAGGGTGCGCATCCACGGAGTGGCCAAGAACAGCTGGAACGGGGAATCTTTGACGCGCATTCGCACTCTGTCATCGGTGGACGCCGTCGGCAAAGATTCAGGGACTACCATTGCGCGCTTGCCGCAAGCGACGACGGAGAATCTCCGCTCCATGACGTATGCAGTGCCTCCAGCAGGGCGCTGTGTTTCCACATTTCGCTCTCTTCGCAATAAGTTGACCCCTCCATTTCGCGTTACCATGAAAGGCGTAGTTGGGGATTTGCAGCCGCTGGAGACGTCGCAAGGGGGAAACTCGAAGCGAGTGTTCGACCTTGTTGACAAGTATGGGACGCATGCGAGATGCTGCGCTATTAAACACAACGCAGAGAGCGCTGCGCTTCAGAATTTCCAGGAAGTGGTGCTCCACTACGGTGCGGGGCGCGGGTCTATTGGCAATGCCCGTGGCATGGTGCATCTGCTGAAGGACGCCATGATCATTCCCATCGGTCAGCCGTCAGCGTTGTCTACGGGGAAGACGGAGCATTTGACGATCGCGCGGGTGGCGTTGCAGCGGTGGCAATCGCTCGGTTAGTTTTCCGCGCTCGGCGCAGTTTGAACATCCCTCGGCTATCTCACCGTGGCAAGTTAGTTCGAGGACCCCTCGTGTGCAGGCAATGCATCCAGGAAGCCTCATACCACCACCAAATGCGCAACCAATCGCACGCAACGCGCTCGGTGCGGTTTTTTCGTTACCCCAGCATGGAAACATGGGAAGGACGGAATTATATCATGTGCGACGCTCTCGGCGCAGTATGTGGATGGACAGCGCGCGCTTCTATATTGGATGGCGCGCCAAGTAGGCACTCCTCAGCCTGGCAAGGAACCACTTTCAATGGCTTTTTTTCGTTGGCAGCGCACTTGCGCTTGTATGTTAGCATCAGCTTAGATCCCCGAGCCAATGATATTTCGACACACGCGCTGCCAAGATCGCGACGTTTGCACGCGGGCACGCTGAAAACAGTTGCCACGCAATGACAAACGACTTGAGGCCTCTTGGGGGTCCCATTGAAAGTCTAGGAGCTTCCTTGAAGCCGTCTTGAGAGGGCATTGGTTTTGGTTGCATATTGACAGCTATCTCTAGGCATGTAAAGCTAGTTTCAATCATCGTAACGGCCGGCTTTTAGGGGGCTATCCTGGCGCCATTTTTAGATAGCTTAAGCCTTGTGATCGTTGGCGGCGTAAAAACGATTCTGGCCACGTTAAAACAACCACGAGTGTTGGAACGGCCACGTCGATGAGGGTCACGTTTCTCACCCAGGTAGGTCAGATTAGGATAGAAACGGGCACGCTAAATGCAAGTCAGTTTGTAGTGATTGAATGACACTGCGGCTGAAGTACAATTCGGGATCAATGAATCTGGTTTCCTCCTCGTAGCCACGTTGGATCGAAGCAATTTGTTTGGCTGGGAGGCCATATCCAACCCACTTGAGTCACTGCTACGCTGACCAAATTTAGCTCGACTGATCATGTCGGCTTCAACGTTCGCGGGCGCCGTCGAGGCTTCGTTCAGCAACGTCGCAGTGGACGTGGAAGGCTTCTCCGGCAAGGTAGTGCCAAACCTTGGAGTGGAAGGGGCGCATGTCTTCCTGACGGGGCGCTGCAGCGATGATATTTGCGAACGCGTGGACGTAGACAAATTTTCCGTGGGGGCCTTACAGAAGTTTGTTCCAAGAAGTGGGTGGTCTGTGGATATGTCTTTTACTTGGGATGACATCCAAGTGCTATTGGAATCTGCGTGCGCGGTGGAATCTAAGAAAGCTGGCATGAGTGAGAATCTCCGATGCTTGATGGAACAAACCCAAGAGAGGGAGGCAAAGAGTGACTTTCCGATCGTGCGCTCTACAGAGCTGAGCACTGGCGACGAGCAGGACGCAGCGGCGCAGATTCTCGGATTGGTAGAGAAAACAGACGCGGTGAAGCTTCAGAGCTACCTCGATTTCCAGAAGTCGAAATATTTCGAGAGTAGCCCAGGGGACCCCGATGTCTCGATACGCTTGAGGCATGCGCAGTGGGCGCATGCGTTTTACTATCATCACGTTCGCGAATATTTGGCCAGCGAGTCCCTCGAGCAGAAGAGGATGTCGCACCATTTCCATGGCTCCACGCTCGCGCCTCTCATTCCGCCGCAGACTGTGGAGGGCGACGAAAAAAGAACGAGGCAGCTGCCTCGCTGGCAAAAATGAAACCCGAAGATCTGGCGCCGTTCAATGTGAAGTTGTGGGAAGCGTGAGAGGAAATTGCAAAGGTTCTCGACGTGAAGATGCGCCGACGGCGTTTAAGCAGTTTTTGGAGGAAGATTATTTCCGCATCATGTCTTCTACGTGCGACGCTCGAGCTTCAGTCCTCCAGCCGAATCAGAGTGGAGTGTCGCGCTCGGCGCAGTCTTTCGAGCCCATGGTCGACCCTCAGTTCCAGGCTAGCGCAGAGGAGGCGCGCGCGCGCGAAGCTTTGATTTCGTCTGCATCCCTGGGCGACCACGTGCGCGCCGTGCAAGCAGTGGATGATGCGTATGCAGAGTACGGGGACTCGCGTACTGCAAAGCAGAGGATGCTCTTGCCGGAGGTTGCTCCGCCAAAATATGCAGCTTCTAGGTATTATGACTTTTTGCAGAGCCTTGTGGGGACAGCCAGTGCCAGCTCTTCGCGCTCGGCGCAGAAGGATGTTGCACAGGTCTGCGTCGCGTCCGAGGCGCTCGCACCTGGTTCGGGATGTGCCGCGCTTGCTGGGATTGATCTTGTTTTGTCTGGAAAAGGGTTTGCAGCGCCTTCGCCTGCAGTTGAAACGGTGGACTACATGTCTGCTTTTGCCATTCTGCAGTCGGGCAACGATTGGGCCAGGTGCAAATTCCAGGCTGTCTTGGCTGTGTGCGACGCCGTCTCGCGCGAAGTGAAGTATCCTTAGGGTTCTCCACGCAAGCGCAAGGCCACTGAAGATGAGGCTAAAGCAGCTGACGTCACTCTCGTCGACAAAACAGGCTTGTTCGTGGCAATGCGGTTGGCGGGGTAGCCGTGGAGCATCTATATATATATATAGAGAGAGAGAGAGAGAGAGAGAGAGAGAGAGAAAAGAGAAAGAGAGAGAGAGAGAGAGAGAGAGAGAGAGGCACACATACATGTACATATTAATATGCGTACCCTGTACAACCTAGGCCGTATATGTGCATGTCTCGATAGGTTCATGAGTGCAGAATGCATGAATGTTCACGTGCGTTTGCGTTGTGCCCATCTTCGTTTCGTCCCGCAGAGGCCCGATCAGCGGCTGTCTCTGGGGCGAGCTTGCGGGGGCTGTTTGCGGGATGTGGAACGACGTGCAGGAGCGTCGCGCTCGCGGGGAAGTGGCAGCGCGCATGGTCGAGCTGGACAGGGTGCGCATCGAAGGTGTGGCCAAGAACAGCTGGAACGGGGAACCTTTGACGCGCATTCGCACTCTGTCATCGGTGGACGCCGTCGGGAAATATTCAGGGACTACCATTGCGCGCTTGCCGCAAGCGGCGACGAACAATCTCCGCTCCATGACATATGCAGTGCCTCCAGCAGAGTGCTATGTTTCCACATTTCGCTCTCTTCGAAATAAGTTGACCCCTCCGTTCCGCGTTACGTTGAAAGGCGTAGTCGTGGATTTGCAGCCGCTGGAGATGTCGCAAGGGGGAAACCCGAAGCGGGTGTTCGACCTTGTTGACAAGTATGGGACGTCTGTAAGCTGCTGCGCTATGAAACACAACGCAGAAAGCGCTGCGCTCCGGAATTTCCGGGAAGTGGTGCTCTACTACGGCGCAGGGCGCGGGTCTATCGGCAATGCACGCGGCATGGTGTATCTGCTGAAGGACGCCATGATCATCCCCATCGGTCAGCCGTCATTGTTGACGACGGGGAAGACCGAGCATTTGACGATCGCGTGAGTGGTGTTGCTGCGGTGGCAATCGCTCGGTTAGTTTTCCGCGCTCGGCGCAGTTCGAACATTCCTCGGCTATCGCAGCGTGGGAAGTTAGTTCGAATTGCCCTCGTGTGCATGCAACGCACCCAGGAAGCCTCAGACCATCAAACGCACGCAACCAATCGGAAGCAACGCGCTCGGCGCGTTTTTTTTTCGTTGCTCCAGCATGGAAACATGGGAATAACAAAATCATATGATGTGCGACGCGCTCGGCGCAGTACGTGGATGGACGCTCAGTGCGCGCTTCGATATTGGATAGCGTGCGCTGAGATGGCGGCGCGCAGCAGGACGTGCTTAACGCGCTCTCCCGGCGAAGACACTGGAGAGTCAATTCTCCGACGTGCGGCACCGGTGCCGCCCTCGCAATCATTGGCGCGAATTGTAATTCTAGTGGGCACGGCGCCGCGCGCTTTGCGCAGGCGCTAGTCGCCGCGCATTTAAATCATTATTTTTTGTTCGATCTCATGCTGCCTGTAGCGCGACTTTCGCGCTATGCCGCTTCCGAGCAAGCGCGCGTGGCCGGCGTCGTTTTTGTCGCACAAGCACCCGTCGAAATTGGGCGGGGCCGCGCGACGGCATTGCACTCGACGATGGGAGGAGCCAAGAAACGCGCTCGGCGCAGCCCTCTCACTGAATGCGGAAATCCTCTTGTATTACCATGCGATTGAATTTGCGTCTGCTGAGACTGCCGCAGACAATCGCCCTGGCGAAATAATTGGCGCCTTTTCTCTTCCCTCTTCCTCCTCCTCTTCCTCCTCGTTCTCCTCCTTCTGCTCTTCCTCCTCGCCTCCTCTTCCTCCTCGTCTTCATCTTCCTCTTGTTCTCCTCGCGCAGCTGGATTTGAGGAGAAGGGCGAGAATCGGGAGGAATGCGATCTTGCCCAGCGGAGCATCAGCAGGCCCCCGCGCATCAGGAGAAGGTGGAAAGAAAGAGGACAAACGGAGAAGGACAAAGAATATGAAAAAAGGACGATGAGGAGAAAGGCGGCGCGAGGATGTCGATGATGGGGAGGGGGGTCGGAAAGGGGGGGGGGGGGAGGAGGAGGGGAGAGGCAGGAACGGAGGACAGACGGAGCATACGATGACAATGATAATGAGAAGTTGGGTTCTGGGAGCATCGACTGGCCTTCGGCCCATCCCGCCGCCGCGCCTGGCTGGTGAGTCAGAGGCCTCATGGATGTTGGCTGTCATGTCGTGGTTAACCTTTCGGGGGCTTCTGGGAGATAGTTTCTAAAACCTGCTGGGGGCTTTTGCGGGGCCTCTTGGGGCCATCTTGGAGGCGATCGATAAAAGGAAGGGGGTCCCTCAATTAGCGCCTCCCCTCGGGGGCCTCTAAAATTGCCTCTTGGACCCCTCTCGGGACACTCTCGGAGCGTTCTCGGGCGCTCTTGGGGCCGACATGGGGCCATCTTGGGCCCCTCTTGGGGCCCCTTGGCCTCTGTTGGAACCGTTTCGAGGCCTCGAATGGCCATCGGAAGCGAAATGGCGAGAAAGTAAAACACATGATTTTCCGTAGGTTTTGGGGCCACGTTGGCTTCCTGGGGGGCCCCCTTGGGAGGCTACGTGGCTAATTGGAGTCGTCTTGGGGCGGTCTTGGGGCCTCTTGGAGCATCTCCAAAGCCATCCTGATGCATCATGGCCCATCTTGACCCATCCTGGAGGTCATCTTGGGCTGTCAGAGGCGCTCGTGGAGCCATCCTGGGCCATCTTGGACGCTCTGACCGCTCGCGGCCTTTCCTTTGTTCTAGCGATTGAGTGCGAAGATAAGGTTTCGCGCTCGGCGCAGACAGTTGCCTTCTCGCGCTCTGCGCTGACACAGACAGTCTCAGGCAAAACGGCTACATTCAACCATCTTGGGAGTAATACTGAGCTCTCGTATTGGGCCATGTTGGCCGCCTTAGCCTCTCGCAGCCCCTCCCGTCGAGACTCAGGGGGGCAATTCCGAAGCGGCGGGAAGGAATTGGCAGAGAAAGCCCTTATATTTAAATTCCGTAGCCGGTTTGGCTCAAACGCCGGGCGAATCAAGCGTTCGAGCACCGAGTAGCTCCGAGCTTCTCACAGGGCCCTCCGAACCATTCATTTACTTCACGATGGCAGTTAGTGCAGCCAACCTAGTCATTGACGTGCCAGAAGACGTCTTGGGAGAACTTCATGACGCGCGCATCCGAAACCTCCATGGTCTGCTCGCTGAGACGCTGCAGACTTCTGGCGGCGGCCACTGCGCCTTGAACGCCGGGTGGGGGGATGTTCGAGTTGAGGGCGGGGAGCGCTGCTACCGTTTGCCCGGAGCGCGACAATTTCTGCAGAAGCAGATCGGCAACGCGCACATGATGTTCAAGCAGCGCGTGAACAACGACAATCTCGTCAGCCTGATTTTCCAGACTCTGTGGAACGATGAGGCGAAACCTTGCGTGCTCTTCGAGACGGGCACATCTGCTCGCATTTCCAGTCGCGAGGGCAAACTTCCCTGGAGTTCAGTGAAGAGGACCGACGAGCGTTTGATGAACGACTTGTTGGTGGCTTGCGAAATAGAAGCAACGGGTAGATTAGATTTCGAAGAAGCTCGTCGTGTCATCGCAGAGCAGATCGGTCTCGCGCGTCAGTCTCCACATGGTAGTCGATTCGCACGGATGATATTGGTTCACCAGGAGCGCCTCAGGGAGGTCGAAGAGGAAGTCGTGGCGATCCACGGGTGGCAGGTTACCAAATTCGAAGCTCTGAAAAGCGACAGTCCGGAAGCATTCAAGTTGCACAAAGAGTGTCGTAGAGAGCGGCGGCGTCAGTTCCTTCGGTAACGTCCTCGTGGCCATCGGAGACGCGCTGGGCCAATTAAGCGAAGAATTACGCCATGATTCCAATTTCGATTTCTCCCCATGTCCGGGAGTCAGCGATGCTGTGAATCATACCAAAAGTGTGGTCTTCGAGGAAGAAACGCTTCCTTTCGAAAACTTCTGCGATCGCTTTTACCCATCGTATTATGCCTCTCTGAAAGATGCTGATTATTGGCTGAGCACCGACGAGTTAATCGCAGTGGCGCGCTGCGCAGGCTCGCACGTGGTTGTCTTTCAAAAGCGATGGCCAGAATCTAGTGTACAACTTCCATTGCATTCTTGGTCGCAACAAGCCGCTCACCCTGCTATCGGTGGATTGGGATCCAGGCTCGAGCGGCGCCACCAGAAGTCATTTCGAGAGAGTGCTCATCATGGGCGCAGAGCAGCAAGATGCGGCGACACCTGCGGCGGCCGGGGTCGATAGGGCTCGTGGCAGAGGAGGAGGGGCAGAATGCATCGGCGCGCGCGAACCCACCAGTTCCGACATCGCCGGGTGCCAATGCAGATGCATCCCCGCGGAAAGGAGGTTCCCAGGGAGATTCCAAATCTTCCGACAGCAACTTGGAAATGCAGAAGGCAGTTCGTCTGTCACCCTTGGAGCACTTGCGGAAAAAAGGTTGCGACAATAGAGCGCGAGCTTGCCCGGGGCCGCGCGGCGAAGCGGGAAGGTCGCAGCGGCGACGAGCTGCGGGGCATAATGATGAAGAAGGTAACAGAGAGTAAGAGTGAGATAGCGGAGATCTTGAAGAAGATGGCGGAGATGGGAGCGCTGTCGCCTCCAGCCACTGCGTCGTCGTCCGCGCGCGCGGGAGCAGCCGACCGGGAAAGGTGCTCGCCCGATGGCGTCGGCAGCATGGGCGTCGACGCGCAGCAAAAGGAGGCGACGCGCAAAGGTAGTATTTCTCCGCGCTCGGCGCGGACTAGCGCGTCATCGCGCTCGGCGCAGTTGGCGGATCCGGAGGCGGAGCCTGCCGTGGCAACGCTAGTGGCGACAGGCACGGGGCATCGACAAGATGAGCAGCCGCGCTCGGCGCAGACAAATGCTTCATCACTGTTGACACAGGCGGCTCCTCGGCGGCAAGGATGCGTCGGCTGTGACAAGCTCGACCACGCAGCTAACTCAGATCCGCGCTGTGAATTTTTCAAGCGGGACCGTCTGGACGTCCCGGATGCCGCACTCGGCGATCTGGTACCGCACATGAGCCAGCTGCGCGTCGAAGTATTTGCTGACGGCGTGAGACAG